ACCGTAATGGAGGAGGCTATGGCACCTCCCGCTCTTCTCACTACGGCGTTCTCTCCACTTCAAGTGCCTCACAGCAGCACGCGGCCAAGTTTCTTACCTCCGACTCTGAGACTGACTACTACCACACCTTCACGCCCAACTACGTCAACAATGGCCTGAACAATCCACTGTACGGCAGCAGCAGCAATCATCACAACAACCACCACCATCGACACTCTTACCTGAATGACTCGGAAACGGCCATTTAGAAACACACCTCATTTTTTATGTTGTACATAAAACTTCTTAAGTCCCTGTAGATACTGCTGACCCACCTGCTCACTTTACCCCCTTATTTTGTTGACCAACTAACTTATTTGTTCTGATCTCATCTACTTTCTTTCCCTCTTTTCTTATTTTACATTCCACCTTTTTACCTACTTTTGTATTCTTTTGAATCTCACCCCTTTTTGTATTATCTTACCCTTTTCATTGTTTTTAATCTTAGCCCCCGCCCCAACTTTCTCAATCTTAAAATATAATAATAATTTAATATATGCTATACACAATCTCATCAGTGAGGTGTCTGTGTGGGTGTGTTCATTGAGGTGTTCTGTGGTGGTGTTGGTTAAAGTTAAAAGCACAAAAACTTGAATAACACGAGAATGACCGGATATGATGGGAAAAAAGAAAGAAGAAAACTGTTGAGAGATGCTGCTGCTGCTGGAAACACAGTGACATATTGGTCAACAACAAAGACGGGTGCTCAGACGGGTTTTAAAGGTGTCATTTTGTGAAATGGTTTCTGGGTTTGAGAAGGAGGAAAAGAAAGAATGGAAAAAGAAAGAAGAAGTACTTGTTTGCCTCATCTGCCAATTGTTATTATTTGCAATTTGTATTATTATTAGTTGAGGGTAGGCGTGTGTGTGTTTGAAGAACCCGGTGATCATCATCAGCACAAAGAAGAACGGAAGAAAGAAGAAGAGAGTAAGAGAAAGAAAGAGAGAAAGGAAAAACAGGAAACAGTGGGTGTGTGGTGTGTATGGTGGTGACATCACAATTGATCAGAGAGGAAAGAGATAGCCAAGAGAAAGATGAGAGAAAGAAGGGGAAGAGAGAATAAGAAGGGAGAGAGATGGAGGGAAAAGAGAGAGAACTTCACTCGATGCCGAATCTGATCGGTGTTATTACTTCCACACCGAGATTGTGTCTCAGCTCTTCTCCTCGATCTCCCGTCAACTTTTGAAGAGGTTGCTTGTTAGTGTGTCGAGAGAGAAGAACAGCGTGCAGAACATAAAGAATAATCTTTCTCCTTCTCTATTTAGCACTGGCAGTCAGACTTGCTGACGCCCTCTCCGTTGGCCCCTCGCCCTCCGCTGCCACTGCCGCCGCCGGCCGAGAGCACCGGATTGGGCTTGTGCTGGACGCCCGACTCTGCGGCGTTCAGGTCGAGCGACCCGTCTTGGATGTTGCTGAAGATGCGACGGGCCGTCTCGAGAAAGGCCTCCTCCACGCCGTCGCCCGTCTTCGCCGACGTCTCGATGAACATGAGGCCGTTCTCGTCGGCAAACTGCTTCGCCTCCTCGTAGGTGACGTCACGCTGCGACTCCAGGTCGCTCTTGTTGCCGATGAGGAAGATGACGGTGTTCGGGTTCGTCAGGTTGCGGGCGTCCGTCAGCCAGGAACTCAGGTGGTTGTACGTGGAGCGTCTCCTGAGAAAACAAACAAGAAATATGATATGAGTGATATGTTGAGAGCAAGTAAACAAATAAGTGCACTGGCTTACGTCATATCGTAGACCATCAGCGCGCCAGCAGCTCCGCGGTAGTAGCTCCGGGTGACAGCTCGGAATCGTTCCTAGGGAAAGAGAGGGTGAGAAAGATTGCGTTGATGGCCGCCTGGCGATAGTCACAGATGCACTTCAGTGCCTGCCGCTTACCTGGCCAGCGGTGTCCCAGATCTGAAGCTTGATCTTCTGTCCGCACACTTCGATGATTCTGGTGCCAAACTCGACGCCAATTCTGGGAGAACAGAGAGAAACAAAATGGGAGTTAGTGACCAAAATAAGATCCACAACAAAACAATCAGCTGGTAGCAATTACGTGTGAGGACAATCGGCCATGACTAGAGGAGGGAGGAAAAGATGAAAAGACAGACATGATTAGCAAGCAGTTTCATTAGCAAGTCATCTAGTCAACAGCAAGANGTCGGCCATGACTAGAGGGAGGAAAATACAAACATGATTAGCAAGCAGTTTCATTAGCAAGTCATCTAGTCAACAGCAAGAGCACTTACATTTCTTGTCAGTGAACTGGTGAAGCAGGCAGGACTTGCCTACGCCCATATCACCGATGATGATGTATTTGAAGATGTAGGAGTAGTTGTAAGGGCCCGTGGTCGTCGACATGATGGAAGTAGTGGTGGTGGTAGTCGGTGTGAAAGTGTTAAGTGCTACTGAGAAACAGAGTAAAAGTGGTGGTGGTGGTGATAGAGCAGAAGATGCGACGGAAAGAAGAGAGAAAGAGTGAGCGATGTTAGCCTGTGGATGTTACCAAACAACGAGTGCTGCTGATGATGACAGTGATGGCTACGGTGGCGGCGGCGGCGGCGGTGTAGTCGTCCTCGTCGTCGGTTGTTGCAATCGGACTCTGCGACGTCGATGTAGAAATAATACTAACTTCAAAACACGATTAGGTGCTCATGCAGATGCACACCGATGACAGCAGTGGCAGCGGTAGCAGTGGGCACGTAGCGAAGAGCTGTAGCCTCAGTGTCTCTGTTGCTGTAGACTCTGTCGTTGTCGTCGTAAGGTAGACAGGCGGACAGTAGCGGGGCTGCCGATACTGATGATGATGATGATGTTTTGTTGTTGATGCAAACACAGAAAGAGAAACCAAAACAGCAGCTACTATTGCACTTTACAGAGTAGCCCTAAAGGGTGGAATGTGGTCTGCAGACTAGGTGTGTTCAGTCTTCGGTGAAGTTCTTTCTGCTTCTGCTGGTGATTTCGGTGATTGCGTCTTCAGTGGTGAGCACCAGGATCGTACAGCACTAGTATTCAGGCTGGTGGTAGTGGCTGTCTGACGACTGTTTCGATTTGGGTCCAGTGGTTCTCCTCTGTTCTGATGGTGAGCGCACACTCGGCTTGATCTCCGCGACGGCTACGACGACGACGGTGGCGGTGGCGGCGTTTATCTCGGCTTTGTGGTTGTGTGGTCGCTGCCTGTCTGTCTGCCTTCACGCTCCGAACTGGTAAGCAGCAGATCTGTGGTCTTCTGTTGCACCGCACACAAACACACTGGTTGGCCTGGACAATTACCGAGACAGCAGCAACTCGACGACCACGTAGGTTCGAGTTTCTACTCAATTCAGTTGCTGCAGTTCCACAGACAGATCTACCAGAGAGACGCTGTATGTATGCTTTGTTGTTGTGGCAAAGAAGTGCTTCTGGTTGTAGTGAGCAGTAGTATCCTAGCGGTGAGCGTGAGCATTAGCGGCGGATCCCTCTCACACTCTCCAGAAGTAAGAGAGTGGCGCCTGGCGTCGTTGCTATATACGCAGCTCAAGTACAGGACTGCTTTTCTCTCTCTCTCTCTCTCAGTTTGACGGACACTGCTGCTGCTGCTGAAGGCGTTGTTGCTGCTGCTGCTGTTGCCGACCAGGCGCCTCACTGACCGAGTTGTCTGCAACGCAATTGGCGATCCAAATGGAACCAATAGAACCAACTGCTAAGGTGATGTTATGAAGGCGATGATGCTGAAGGGAAAGAAATATGAGAGAAAAAATGGGCGTAGCATTTTGCTGTGACTCTGATGTTCGAATGGCCGCCGAGAGATGTCGCATCTGACCTGTTTTGAATTTTTTCTGTCACATGTTTTTGTTTGTTTGTTTTTGCAAATCCGCATTTGATCTGCAAGATTTTTCCTGAGATAACAATGGCCGAAGTTGACAGTCGCCTGAAGCAGCTTGATGAAATTCGCCAGTTTGTCACGGAGAAAAAGCAGTGGATTGACTCAGTTTATGATCAACTGGGCTGGAAAACTCGATCCGGTGTTCCTCGTCCTGAGGTCGTCAAAGAGGATGTCAACGTTTCAACACCGACACAACCTCAACTCGTTAGAAAAGAACCAGTTGGCCCTGATCCTCTGCTAAATGCCGACCTTATCAAAACGTACCACAAACTGGCCGACAAGCAGGTGGCCGCACTGGAGGCCGCCGAACCACCCGATGTGAAGCACCTCAAAAAGCGAAAACGGTCAAAACGCAAGTTGAACGTGTATTCCTCTAAGCGTCTCTCATATACAGAAGTAGTTCGAAAAGTGATTGAACATCAAAGTGAAGTGATGGCAAAGATCAGGAGGGCGGCAAAAGAAGGTGTAAATGCAAAAGAAGAAGAAGAAGAGCAGACAAAAGAAACATCAAAAGTCAACAGTGAAAACAGTAAAGGCTGATCATAATATAATAATCGCATTATGCGAATGTGTGTAATAATCTGTGGTGGTGACTAGCAGTGTGACTCGACTGGAACAGAACGTAAAAAAGGGAAGAAGGGAATAAGAAGAGGAGTAAGAAGTGTATAATCAACGTGGGTAAATAGATCATCAGAAAGTCAAGTGGATTCACCGTCACCATTGTCATCATTTCCCTCAATGCTCAACCGTGGTAGAGTATCGCCGGCTGCCGCACTCGTAGCAAAACTTGGCCAACGTATTCGGGTACTTGGTGCCGCAGCTGTGGCAGAAGCGAGGCGTCAACTCCGGCGGCGGCAAGTCCACATCGCCTTCGAACTCACTGCTGGCCATCATCATCGCCGGTGAGCCTTCATGTGCACTCTTACTACCACCGCCACCACCACCAGTGAGCGCCGTCATGACGGTAATATTGGCTCCACCGCCTCCGTCCTGCTGTCCCATCAGGTGCTGAATGTCGTTGAGCGAGCCATTTCGAAGCATCAGCCGCGACCGGCGCTCCAGCTCCGACATGGGCGGCGACAGTATCTCTGCCATTGGAAGCGAGCCTGGCTTTATCGGCTCAGACGTGCCGAAGATGACGCCCAGACCGGAGTCGGCGGAGTCGGAGGTGGAGCCGCGGGCGTCCAGGTCAGAGGCGATTGAGTGTGATCTTCGATGACTGCCACTGCTGCTCTTCTTTGATCCACTGCCACCGCCGCCGACTACCACCGAGCCGGTCATCATCTCCCGCTGCTGTTGCTTGTATGCCTCCAACAGCTCTTCCTCGGTCATCATCATTGAGGGGTCATCACTTTTGCCGCTGTCATCACCCCCTCCACCACCACCACCTCTTCTGCCTCCTTTAAAGTGCTCCGAGATAAAGTTCTGAAAGTTGTCCGCGTACTGGTTGATCACCTCATTGTCGTAGAGGCCGCTGATGTACATGTCAATGCGCTGTTTGATGTCGCCGCCGATCCGGTGCAGGTTCACCTCCGATCGAGACAGTGAAGATCTGAAATAGAACGCATTGGTTAGTTTTTTTTCTAATAATAACTCCGCCCCTCGTTATCTCTACTGGTGATTACCCGTTACTGCCATTAGTGGTAGTGTTGCTCTTCACCGGAGAGATGCCGCCCGTCCTCACGCCGGGCACCGTCTTTGGCGAGTCATCGTAGGCGGAGTTTCGCCGCAGCACCTCAAAATCGACCGCCTGTGAACAGGCGTTAGTCGGCTGATGATTGGGAAACTTCTCCTTGAACTTCATCACCGGCGCCGAGGACTTTGGCTTGGTGGGCGACGCCGGCGACCGGCCGGTGTTGATCTTTGACTGGACGTTGCTGTGGGCACCGGTCGACCGACGGCCCACCACCATCGTTCTCTGAGTGTCGGAATTTCTTTGCATTCGCTGGTTTGGATTTTGACTATGAGTATCACTGGTGTTGACTGGTGTGCGTGTCGAAGCTCGACTCCCGCTGCTGTTGCTGTTGGTGGTGGTGGTCGTATTTCGGACTCCCGCCTTCTGAGGGCTCTTTGCTGCCGCCTTATGGTTCAGACTTTCGGTGCTCTTGCTGATGGCTCGCTTTGCTGGTGGAGCTCGGCTGTTTTTGCTCACTTGTTTGGAGGTCGTTGAGCTGGCTGAAGTTCGATGGCTGGTGGCGGTGCTAACAGTGGTGTCGGCAGTGGACTTTCGACTGCTGCTGGTGCTGTTTATGTTTTGGGTGGACTTGCTCTTGGAGAGACTGGTTCGGGAGCCGTTCAGGGAGCCATTGCTGCTGCCGCCGCCCCCGCCGCCATTGCTGGCCAGTGTTGGCGGTTTGTACTGGTTGAGGGGGGGAGAGATTGGAAAACAAGGAGATTGTTAGTAATGATCAGTCGACTGGCAGCCAATTTGGTTTGTTCTTTCTGTTTTAGAGTGTGCTGTACTGCAGCACCTCTGCAGCCTACTGTGGAAGACTGATTGAAGCTGCCTGTTTACTGGCGCCTCTAATTACCTCACTTTTAGGTTGTTAGTTACGGGTTGTACGATTTTTTGTGACTACACACTTTGTCTTTACTTTATTTTGGGTGCCTGGTTTATGACTGAAAAAATGAAGGTAGCGCTGCCAATTTGCATGGCCTGCCACTCTTGGCGCACTGGCGAATCGATACGCACTTTCTACATTAAATGTTGTTTCCGTTTTGCTGCTTCCAATTATTACTTTGTTCTCCTCCAGGTTCTCCTCTTCTTTTCCCTTCCTCCCAGTGCAAGGTTGCACTGCTGACATTGAACTGGGGGGCACTATTCTTGACATTTTTAAAAACACTAAAAATATTTTGCTTCGTTTTATGCTTCTTTTAGCGTCCCTGTGCATATCTAATTAGCAAGTGTTGCTGAGGAGAAAGAAACTCTCAGCTAATGAGAGAACTTTGTGTAGAGGGGAAGCTACAAAAAATGTAAAAGTAGAAAAATTGGATTGATTGGAATTTTTCCTTCATACTCTTTACTCGTCTTCTTAGAAGACGCAATTTTTTTCTTCTGCTAATATTCTCTTTTTATCGAGCTGCTATGCAGTGTCAATCAGCAGCAGCAGCAGCCATCGAAAGTCCATTTAAGAAGGGTGTTCCAAAAACTTCAATCACACGCTGCGCGTTCCGCTCTCATTCCGCTGCCACCTCATTCAATCAATTGATTCACGGTCATTTGCTTACTGCCACTACCACTATTTGTCAGTCTGCCCTGTGTCTATTGATTTGCCATTGTCTCATTTTCCTTTCTCTCAACTAATTGAAACTAGCCATTTAGTTTACGAGCCAGCAAGCTCCTTCTCCCCTCTCGGTGTTATTACCGGTGTGTTGGTAATGTGCCTTCTAAGAGTGTGTGCCTCAATTTTCTTATGAGGTGTGCTGCTCTTTTCTATTTCTCCCTCTCCTTTTCTCTTCTTTTTAATGTCTCCATTAATCGATCCAGAGCAAACTG